GTCCCTGTATTTAGGCACACGGGGTAACCCTCGGTGTCGGTATGGATGTGCAAAAGCGGCAAGACGGGATAGGGTATTCTGGGTACAAGGAAAGGGTTATTGCCTTGCCGGAACCTAGGTACCGCGCTCGCGACGGTTGAGCTGCGCTTGAGGTATGGGATAAAACCCTACTGATAGTACCAGCGGAGAGACCATATTGGGAAAAGACTGGTGAGGAGATGACCGGCCCGTATGTGAGATTGCCTGATCTTTTTTATGTTCCCCTTCTGTAAAGATTGATTGAGCTTGGATTGTTGGATGAGACATATTTCTAAGTCTATTCCCTCTCTTGTAAGTCCACACGAGTGAGAGATGATCGGAAGGAAGGAGGATAGAGGTGAGTTGGAATGGAACCAAAAGAAGGAATGTGGGGAAATGGATGGCCGACCGAGGGTAGTATGGGAAGAAGGTACTTAGGAATGAGGAGGTAAATTAGGGAGACCTTGATGAGGGGTCTGAAATAATTCTCATCTAGGACAAGGGTTGACCTGACCAGAAGGACCGGTTGGTACTCTTTTATGAAAACAGGGGTCGGGTGCTGAAAACAAGATGGTGCGATGGTTGTCTTCCCCGATCTATACCAGCGGCCCGGAAATGTCAGTAGATATAAAGGATGGGGTATCGGTCGTCCTCCCGGAAGATGGAGCGTGGACAGACGTTGAACCAGCGTATCAAACGGCAATGCTGGAAGGAGAGGACACGTTTCTTTGGATAAAGACAATATGGACTAATGTCATCTTGACGAGGTTGTCGCCAAGTCTAATGGATTTGGAATTCCGAGGGACAGTGGAAGCCCGGGGGTGGGTCTACTTGTCGCAAGATGGGGAGAATGCTATGGTCATAGAGTTGGCACTCAGGAATGCACCGGACGAGATGTTTAGGAAGGCAGAAGCGGAGGTTGTGTCGGCCGTGTGTCAGCGAAGGGAAATGGAAATGGAAAAGATAGACGTACGGGTGGAACTTGGGGATAGACGAAGCATGAGGCGACCCGTCAGAAAATGAGTGAAGGGGGACCACGTGCGACTCAGTTGGGTTTGAGGTTGCCCAGGAATTATCATATGTATGGATAAAACGGATTTGGAACCCGATAAGGGAAGAGGAAGGTTGGGACGATGTAGCAGAGGGCAAAGTGAAATCGGTCGGGACGATCGTCCTTTCCGAAGACGGGTGACACCTATTTTGCACTACGTTAGCAATGAGACAGGATTCAATGTGGCTTCTAGGGGATGTAGAGGCGCGAACCCGAAAAGAAGGCAAGAGGTTCGCCAACGAAGGGTGAGACGAAGTTAGTAGCAGAGTTGTGATGGGAGGATCGAGGGAACTCAGACCCCCCTACCTGCACTCAACAATGTGGGTGCCCGAGTTCGTGGCCGACTGGTTCGGGGGTTTCGAGCACATAGCAGACGTGGCCGACTCCATGAGGGAAGTACACATAGAATGTGCCTGGCTGACCGAGGAATTATATAGGATCACCTTAAAATATGGGTCCTTCTACGGCGATAAAGCAGTGAGGTCATCACCGTCTTGAGGATAGGTAAGTCTACCGCCTAGAGGTAGACGAGGAGGCGTGAGACATCATAGTTAGCCGGGAGGCGGTGGCCGCGCCATGCTACGTAGACGATGTCTTTACGTTGTTTGAGATATTGTCGTTCGATTAAAAGGACCCGAAAATCGAACGCCGCAGGGAGGTCGGAATATGGAGGGTGTTTGTGAATTAGGATGTAGCATAAGAAAATGGGGCATGTACATTAGTTAGCAGGGGATGCGAGGGGGTTGAAACAAGGGGAGGTAGCAACGCCAAAAGAGGGAAGAAGACTTGTACGTGTATGGGGCAGGGATAGCAGCAAGAACCAGTGTTCGATAGGTAGGGAGTACTGAAAGACTAAAGCACGAAAGGCATGGAATCTCGGTGGGTGCAGCAATCGGAATAAGGAAGTCGGAAAGGAGACATTGCAAGATGGCACGACGAATGACGTTCTGGGAGGATAGGCCCTGCGGGATCCTACCGCCGAGAGCATCAAGGGGCAGGGTCGAAATAAGCCTGCCAGCAAGAAACGTGGTAAGTAACCCGATAATGGACTGGGTGGGGGTAGAGTTGGTGGAAGACACGGTGTACCTAGTGGTAGAGCTGGATTTGAGTGCAAGAGGGGAGTTCGGGGGTATAAATTTGGAACTCCTAGGACGCGTGCATGCGACGGGATCCCTACACTTGTTGGAAGAAGGATGGCGAACTTTTGGGATTGCCTTGGCTTCCGGGGACGACCCCGTGCGAATGTTCGAAGGAGTGTGGCAAATAACCTGGCGGGAGGGGTTTGAGTTCGTGGACCCGGAACGAGATGACGTGACAACTGAGGTAAAAGTCACCGTGGCAGGGGTCTTTGAGTTACCAAATGAGGTCGTACGCATGAGTCTACCACCCTTTCTACTAAGACGAATGAGAGGCATAGAGCGAGTGCAGCAGACAGTAGCTGCCATAACTAGGCTAGATTTTGACGAAGCATTAATGTATCAGGAATACTACCGGGCCTTCCTAGAGATGGGGCCTTTGGAAGACGAACAGGGGCACGAGGTGCTTTGCATACTACGCGCAGCAGTAAATACTAGGACAGGAGTTCAGCAAATAAGTGATGAGGCCATATGGAGAGTCATCCGGCGGGAGGTAGGTCGGGGCACGACCTACATAGATGATCTTTATCGACTGTACGAGCAGCCAGAGGAGGATGCTGCTCCGGGGGATATAGGGGGATAGTTGGGACCAGAGAAGAAGAATGAAAACATGAAGGGTAAGGGGGCAGTAGGTGGACGTTTACTGAGGATTGGCTGTAACCCTTTCAATGTGGACTATGCAGGGAATCGCCGAGGCAACAATGGCAGCAAGACATGTGCGAATGGAACGCCAACCCCGCGTGCGAATGGAACCCTAGCCCCGGTACCCCGGACCAGCCTTGAATAACGGCGGGAGATGGGAGGTATCCCTCCCGTCAAATTTTAACTTTTGGGGGCTCGACACGGAATGACGGGTCGTGACTCTAGGAAGAGACAACGCCTTCATGTTGGTGGAACATCAGTGGACGGGGATGAGACTCAACCGAGGGCCCGGGGATGACCTATTCACCAATTTGGAAGTAACCGGGGTCCTATACTTACCCGAGGCAGGCTGACATTTGTTGGGGATAGGAATAGCGCAAGGCCACGACCTGACTCCAGTCTTTCGGAGGGCGGCCCGGGTGTTGATGCGGATAGGGCAATCGGTCAGCGGTAGGAGAAACGTGGATTTGCTTACCAGGGTGGAAATGGGAGGTTGGAGGGAGTTCAGGTCACCAACCACACCGCTGAGGTGTCGAGTTCCCCGATTTATGATAAACCTCATTTTCGGGAGCCTCGCAAGGGTATAAGCGCTGGCAGACTTGGCAATAGTCTGGGTAGACCAGTTCCCCTTTCAGACCATCCGGATGTTCTACGATGTCTCGGTGGAACATGGGCCGTTCTGGGGAAAGAGGGCCCATGAGTTACTGTAAGTCATCCATATCCTGGTATTTGGGTTGCCACAGCTAGTCTGGGCGGACTACGAACATATAATCCTAAGAGAATCGAGATAGGAGAAAGTTACTTAGCAGGGGTGGCTCAACTATTCGAGAAGCCTACCGAACCGGAAGGGCCACGAGGACGAGAACGGGACTAGCCTCCAGGGGACGGACCAATAGGGCAAATTAAGTATAAGTCCGCGATGGAAATGAGGAAGGGCCTCGGACCCAGATGATCAGAAGCCGCAAAGAAAATAAAAAGGGGAGGGGGATAGACTCCTGATGGTTGCCATGACCCAGAAGGTCGAAAAGGGGAATACTGCTCTGGAAACTTCCCCTAGCAGGGTGCTTAACCCTGACTCCTATGCGTCGGCCGACGGGACAAGGGCGCTCTAAACGAGCCGTGATAAAGGAGACTAAGTCACGCCCGGGTTAAGGCAGCAGGGCCAAACGTGGCTCCTTCTTAGGGAAGCAACCAAGGAACAGGGATGGGGAAAAGGCTATTGTCCGAACAAAGATAAAGCCAACAGGGTTGGAACCTAGGGAACCTAAATACCTCGCGCTGCATGTGTCCTGGGGAATCCTTTGGCTTATGCAGAACTAGGCAAAATGGCAACGGAGGATGAGACGGATAATCGTAAGAGCGAAGGAGGACCAGGCTTAGGAGGAAGTGTTGTGAAGAGCGAAGAAGGGCAGAAAGATAGAGAATCAATAAATCCGGATGGTACCAAAGGGAACCGGAAGGAAATCTCCTCAGGAAAGCCGTGGGAAGCAGGCAAGGGACTCAGGAAAACAAGGAGGGCAGAAATAAGGATAGGACAAACCCCCGGAATTCAGAAGGAGTTGTGTCTAAGAAAGTAAGGGTCACGGATGCGAGGCGCAAACTAGCGGAGATAGAAAAAAGGACCGAGGAGTACAAGGCGAGATTGATCGAGGAAATGATGACTGAGAACGAAGAAGGCCCTCCGCAGGAAGAACCGCGAGACGAACGGAGGACCGGCCGAGGCGGAATTGAGCAAGGGGATAAGGGTAATGACCGTGGGGGAACTTCGAGCAAAAGAAGGAAAGAGAGAGAGAACTCTCCGGGGATGGAAGCGGACAAAGCTACGAACCCACCAGCCATAGATAGTAAGGCTAGCCGCCTGCCGACCACACCAGCGGTAACGCGAGGGTGTGAGGGACTCTGGAGCCTTAGGGAAAGGGTGTTGGGATGGTTCGACCCAGAAGGAACTGTGAAGACTAGGGAGGGACAGAAGGCCGGCAAGGAAGGGCCGGATACCAGTATGGCGGGCGAGGCCAGGCGGCCTTAGGAAGATAGTATCATCCCTTGCGCGAGCGCTGAACAAAAACCAGGGCTACCTAGCGGACGCTAAGAAGAAATTGACGTTCAACGGGGCGAACATCACGGAGTTCCTGATCGATTATGAGAACCTAGCTGCGCTGTTGAAATGGACCGAAGAAGAAAAAATGGACCACCTAGGACAGCATGTGTCACTGAGCCTAGGGCAGGACATAATGGCCATTGTGGCCGCGAGCCGGTCCTGGAACGAGACCCGGGATGTGATGATGAGAAAATATCTGGCAGCAGAGAAGATGGCGATGGAGGCCGATTTAGCGGCAGTCCAGAGGAAGAACTTCGCAACGTACAATGACTTCCTATGGGAGTTTACTTTGGTAGCACTAAGGATCCCCGGGGTTACGGACCAGATAATGAGTAAGTACTTCCTCAAGCAGTTCTCCGAGTTCGACAAGGACAAGATCCTGTCAGCTTACCAACAGACGAGCGAGTTCGTAAACACCAGGGACGTTGATTTCAGTACGGTAACGGATCTGGCCGAGAAGACGGTAGTGACCGAGACATTGGCCTTGCTTAAAGAAGGGGAGGTCATAGATCTGACTGGTAGGACAGATGATAAGGTAAAGAAGGGGATTGAAAGTCTACATGAACGGGTGCACGGAGTCGACAACAAAATTGAAAGGGTGGAGAACGCGCTACTGGTTATGCAGGCGCAAGTATCCCGACTCGCCCTCCCTCCCCAGGAAGCCGTAGCTCCGCCATGTGTAGCCAATCGAGGGTTCGGACGGAGGGATCCTGCTAACGAGCAGTGCAGGTATTGCACCGCGATGGGACATTATGTGTGCGCGTGTCCAAAGCTCAACCATGATATATTAAAAAGGAGATGTACTAGGTCATTAAAAGGAGAGATATTCGGACCACAGGGAGAACGCGTAAATTGGAACTCGTCAAGGGGGATGCGGCGAGCCGTTATCATGCTCAATGGGTTAGAGATAACAGCCGTAGAAACTGAGCCGGTGGTCGAAATCATCTGGGATCAACTTCGGGGCCACGGGCCGCAGGTCAACTTCATTTTGGAAAACGACGGACGTGATATGGTGAACGCGACTACTCGGCTAGGGACGGTCGGGAGAAGGATTATCCGTGACACCGTGATGGAGGAGGTTGCTGGAAGCTCTGTACCCCAGGCAGAGTCTGAGGCCGGAGAACCAAAGAAAGTTTATGGGAAGCCCAGGGAAGAGGAGCCTACGGATAAGGTTACCGCTGCTAAGAAGAAGTTTAGATACCAAATCCCGATCTTAACTATGCCTGAGATCGATGATACCCTTAGCAAGCTACTAGGGACCATGGTGTCAGTGTCGTTCCAAACCATGCTGCAGGCCAACCCTAGGTTGCTCAAAGGGCTTAGACAAATGTTGACTCGGCGGCGAGTAGAGATAGACGAAAACCCCGAAGCACCGGAAGAAGAAAGGGAGGAGGAAGCCCCGCAAGAGGTCGCTTACCTTCAAAGGAGTCACGGGGATTTAGAGGATCTTGAGAAAGCCTTTGCAGGTATCCGTTTGAGCTTACCACACCGAGAAGGTGGCGAAGTCATGAGGGCACCTCCTGGGACAAAGCTCATTTTCCATGCGCTACCCATAGGAAAATTGAAGATTCAGATCGGGACTCATCACACCGACGCATTAGTAGACGAGGGAGCAGAAATCACTCTCATAAGGAGGGATTTCGCAACAATCATCGGTTGTACGACAAATAAGGAAGTAACAGGGAGCATTCGAGGAGCTGGTGGGGAAATTCCGTTCGCTGGATATGTCACGAAGTGCGCAGTCAAGGCAGGTGTCAGGGAATCAATCTGGTCGTTTCAACGGATGACCATAATGGAGGAAATGGATTACAACATAATCCTTGGGAGACCAATGTGCGCAAACGTAGAAATGATAGGCATGAACTTACACGATGGCACGTACATCGTGGACATAGAGGACCCAGTGACCGGCCGGGGTGAGCTCCTTCGACTCCTCGGAACAGGAGGGGACCCTCCGAAGGGGAAGTTGGCAACATGGTCGCCGTCATTTGAAGATAGCGCACGGAAAGGGACTTTCGCACGGATGGAGGGCATGAGAGAAAGGGTAGAAATTATGATTGAGGAAGCGTTCAACAAGAAGGAATGGATCAAGATGGGCCTGCCCAGAAGAAAAGGAGGCATGAGGACGAAGTCTTAGGTGTTATGGTGGCAGAAAAGGAGTCAGAAGTCGAGCTCGGTGCCAGCCTACCCAAACGGAAAGAAGTACGCACGGACGTGCCATAAATCGCACTCGAGATCCCCGATTTGTTACATCTCATCAAGGCCCTTAGATACCATAAGGTTGGAGTGGACTCGGCGGCCTTGGCCAAATTCGAAGGAGAGGTACAAAAGGGATATTGCCTGAATGGAAAATTAGTTAGTATTCAACCACGGGTCGTAGAGGCAACGAGGGTAATCCCGACCTTTCATTTTTTAGGAGAAAGATCCCGGAAGGAAGTGTTCGAAAATACAAGCCGGTAGGAAAGAAAGCGAAATCGGTCTCGATCCTACTAGAGACGTCAAAGAAAAAGGCTATGGAGAAGGAGGAGGAATTCCTCCGGGTATTCCAAGAGAAAAGAGCGACGAAAGGGCATTGGATACCAGATGAGGTAGCTGATACAATGAGGATAGGGGTAGACGGATTCTTCGAGCAAAAATGGACTCCTTTGTCGCAGAACCTACGGCGTCGCCGTACACGAACCGGTGGTTCATCTTTCGAAAGCCTAACAAGACGTTAAGGTGGATTCAGGATCTGCAAAAGCTGAATGCGGTAACCATCCGGGATGCTGGCTCGCTACCTTAGGCCGATTTGTTAGCAGGATCGCACGCCGGTCGGAGCATTTACTCCCTGATAGATTTGTACTCGGGATACGACCAACTCCCATTGGATGTCCAGGACAGGCCGTACACCGCAATGCATACCCCCGTAGGTCAGTTGCAGATGCAGGTGACCCCTATGGGCTTTACGAACGCTGTAGCCGAAGCGCAACGAAGAATGCTCGCCGTAGCCGGGGACATGTTCCCAGAAAAGTGTGAGCCCTACATCGATGACAATCCAATCAAAGGCGCGCAGGAGAAAGACGAGACGGAAGTCCAGCCAGGAATCCGAAAGTTTGTATGGGACCATCTACAAGACATCAAAGACTTACTCCGCCGGTTCCTAGTATACAACATCACGGCTAGTGGACCAAAGAGTATTTTAGCAATACCGGAGGTAACTATACTAGGATTTCGCTGCGGCCAATCTGGCTTTCTACCCCGCCGGATCTGGCTTTCTACCCCGCCAGATTGGCCGCCGGATCTGGCTTTCTACCCCGCCGGATCTGGCTTTCTACAAGATATCGCTAGTGGACCAAAGAGTATTTTAGCAGATCCGGCGAAGACAGACAAGATATCGCAGTGGCCAATACCCCTGCGGACGACAACGGAGGTAAGAGCATTCCTAGGCGTGGTCGAATTTCGGAGAATCTTCATTAAGAATTTTGCCAGGATTGCTGAACCTATCCAGACTATGATCAGAGAAGAAGGGACCATGGACTGGACGGAGGAGCGAGAAGGACCCGTCCAGACCCTCAAGGACATTCTGACATCGGAGCAGGTCGCCTTGTCGGCACTCTGCTTTAATGATGAAGTAGGACGACCATTCATCCTAGAAACGGATGGAGGACCCTTGACCGTAGGAGGCGTACTGATTTAACGAGATGAGGAGGGGAAAGAGAGGCCGATTATATTCGAAAGTAAAACCCTGAACTCCGCAGAGCGGCGGTACTCACAATTCAAGAAGCAGGTCCTAGCCATCTTGCATTGCCTTAAGACCTTCCAGGCCTACCTATTTGGGAGGCGGTTCATCCTTAGGATCGATCCGACAAATGTTGCAGGGGCCCTAAAGAATTACAAGCCTATAGATCCGATGGTGGGGAGATGGGTATGATTTATCATGCAGTTCGATTATAAGATTGAACGGATTGCAGGAATCAGAAACAAGGTCGATGGGCTGAGCCGGGTCTGCATCACTGCCGAAGGGGTGGAAGAGGCGGAGCCCATAGACGCGTTCCTTGAATACGAAGGCGGAACTCTTGCGGTGGACAACGAAATGATGGGCAAAGAATGCGCATCGGGAGAACTACTGATCCGGACATTGAAGAAGGGGGTGCCTGCCGTAGTAGCCGAACTTAGAAAAGGATCAGTCACCACTCGGGGTCGTAAAAAGGAGAGAGATTCATGGGGAGCGATAGTGAGACCAAAGGAGGAACTAATAACAATGGCGGTTGAGGGAGGCCTGGAAGCCGTGATGAGCTTAGTGGAATCCTAGGAAAGGAAAGAGCTGCGATAGATGGTAAACCAGATGCAAGAAAGAAAGAATGAGGACCAGAAAGGGAAGGAGTTTTTCTACGCTCAGATATACGAAGAGATCTTTCGGGAGATCGGGTTGTTGCTGGTAGGAAACAAACAACCTATGGAGATCAATACTAAAGCAAGGGAGGAGGCCGAAAGGTACGTCCTAAGGAGGGGTCATCTGTTCCGAAGAGAGGAAGGGGCTATGCCTAGAAGAGTTGTGTGCGGAAGATCTAGGCCGTTAGACATTATCCAAGCAATGCATGACGGACTAGCAGGAGGACATCGGTCGTCCAAAGGAACTCTTGCAAAGATAGCACCAGTTTATTATTGGTGAGGCATGACAGACATGGTCGCCATATACTGCCAGACATGCCTTATCTGCCAGGAACGAAGCTTGGCGCGTGTGTTCGAGCCGCTTAGACCTACGCGGGTGTTAGGGCCGGGACATCTGGTCCACCTTGACCTTGCGGTTATGCTTGTATCAACAGATGGGTACTGGTATATTCTAGATGCGCGAGACAACTTGAGTGGGTTCGTGGAGGCGGTCGCTCTCAAGAAAAGTCAGGGATAAGTGTAGCGGACTGGATATAAGACTTCTACTTAAGGCATCCTTTCATCAGGAGGTTTATAGCGGACAATGGGATATAATTTGTGAACCAAGAAGTATTGAGAATGCTTAAGAGACTCTGCGTACCGATCAAACTCATCGAACCATATCACCCGAAGGCCAATGCACATGTGGAAAGAAGGCACCAAACTTTAAAGAACACGATTGCAAAGCTCGCAGCAGATCATCTTGGAAGCTGGCCTAGGTATCTCAAGCAGACTGTCTTTTCAGAGAATATGACACCTAAGAGGACAACCGGATGTATCCCAGCAGAACTTTGGTATGAAAGAGAGATCGACTTTCCCGTTGAAGCCTTGATACCTACCTGGAACAGATTAGATGACGATCCGCGAATGAGCACGGAAGAGTTAATCGAGGCAAGGTGTCAACAGGTCCTTAAGAACGAAGAGGTCATGGAAGACATCACCAACCGGGTACTAGACAGCGGGATGAGGGACAAAGCGAGGTGCGACCAGGTTAAGAATGTCAGAAAGGAGCCACTTCAAGTGGGGGAGATGTTATTGCTAAGGAATTCGACACTAGAAAGTACTTGGTCTAGACAACTGGGGAAGAGGTTCAAAGGCCCCTACCGGGTCGTCAAGCGGATGGAATTGAACACGTTCGAACTGGAAGATTTGGATGGAACAGGATTGAAAGGACCCTTCCCGGGGAAACGGTTGGTCAGGTTTCTAAGTCGAGACCCAGTGGAACAATGGCTTCAGGAAGCCGAGGACAGGGAAACTGAAAAGGTACAAGCTAAGGACTGATAACAGCCTTGCCCACACTTTGGTTGTGTCTCTGACTACGTCCATGGGACTGTCACTTTTTTGACTGGGGCAATGGTTTGGACTGACTGAGGTTGAAATGCAGGATGACTTGGGAATTTGCGGTAACGGGTTTGTGCGACAACGGGAAGGATTGTTGGGGCATTGTATCATAGTTTTTGACGGGAAATAATGGGATCATCAAAATGGCGCATTTGCATAAGGGAGGGAATGTATGAAAGGGGCATGATGCGAAGGATACTGGGAGCATTCTGGGGAAGGGGAGAACTGCCTACTTGACTGGGGAAACGGGTGTGTGAGGGGCTTTGCAGGTGTTGTTATGTTATACATGACTTAGAAGAAAAACAAGAAAAGCAAAAATGGAATTCGGCAACGAGAATGACAGTGGGGCCATCAACGAAGGGGGTGGAACGGGACCAAGCCAAGAGCCAAGGACTGCCAAAAGAAAGTTGTACATAGAGGACTTGTCCAGGCGAGTGTCAGGAAGGAGAGCGAGAAAGTACTTATGTAGAAGACCCTCGCCCCTCCGGGAGGGAGAAGGTATAGAGATCTCATCTGAGAGTGAGGACGAGAGGAAGAGGGAAAATGTGGGAGAAGGGGGCAATGCGAATATGGGAGATAAGGCCCAGGCTCCTAACGATAATGAAGCCAATAGGGGCGAACAACGTGAGCCTTGGCAGGGTGAAAGCGAGGAGAGATAGGACATGCGCAACGAGCATGAGGAGGGCGAGGAAAGAAGGGAAAGCCTGCTTGAAGGACGAAGCGGCCACGACAGTTGTGAGGGATATGGGACAGGGACAAATATTTATTTTACTTACGATCCAAAGAATCTAATGGGAGGGTATAACCCCATACAGACGAAAGACGAGGAGGACAAGGAGGAGGATGTGCAAGAAATCATAGAAATCAGCAGCAAGGATGAAAGGGATGAGATCTCGAGGCCTAGGGAAGAGAGGCGGTCTCCGATGCACCAGCCGCACGAAAAAGCCTTCAGGTGGGAGGATGAGTTTGGCCCAACGCCCAGTCATTGGTTTCAGCAATGCACCAATGTGATCAGGCACGAGTGAATTATAAAAACCCGGGAACTCGCAAGGGCAGGGGTGGAAGCCACACCGCTGGACTTTTTCAGTGAGTCAGAATTACAGGAAATTGCAAAGAAAAGGAGAGAAATCGAGACATTCGGCCTGGGGGTTAGAAAGTCTGCCGAGGAGCAGGGTGGATAAGGAATCGAGCAAGCTGAGGCACAAGGCAGCAATAGGAACTAGATGTTGACTTAGCATTGAATATGATTCCTGCCTTTCTGTTTGCAAAGACATGGGAACGACAAGAACGTGTATAGTATGAGTAAGATTGCTAAGGATGAAGTAATAAGAGGGTCAACTAAGACTATAAGTTAGAAGATAACTTTTGAGGCTACTTTCTAGATGAGCTACCTTTGAAAGTGGGTACACGAGACAATGACATGGGGCAGGGGATGAGACTCGTTGGAAAGGGTGTATTGTGAATTTTGGATAAAATAGGGATTGTGCTTTGAGAAGAGAAACCTTGAGTACAGATTGACGAACGAACCATGGGATTAAATGTTGGTCGAGTACAAGAGAGGTTAGGGAACCTATGGGTCAAGGGGCATGAAGAACACTCCTTCCCTAGGAGCCTAATCCAACTGAGTCATGAATATGTCTGAGAATAGCCGAGATCTGAGTCATTGGAACGAGTGAAAATAAGAGGGGGCGCCCCTGTCTCTTGCTATGGTTGAACGGTCGGGTGGGCTAGTGCTGCTTGGGATCGCGACTCCCAACTCGAGTACTAGACGCTAAGTCGGATGTATACACGCATAGTATATTGCTTTAAGGATGAATGAGGGGAACAACACGAAGAAAACTAAGATGAGATGCCCACCTTTTAACCTCTGAGACAGAAATGGGATCCGTGTCCTCGAGGCCCACCCCCTCGGGCGCTAACAATGAGAATGAAAAGGAATGACCCTAACCGGGCTGTTCGACTTGAGAATGGAAAGGAATGACCCTAACCAGGCTGTTCGACTTGAGAATGGAAAGGAATGGCCCTAACCAGGCTGTACGACTTGAGAATGGAAAGGAATGACCCTAACCAGGCTGTTCGACTTGAGAATGGAAAGGAATGGCCCTAACCAGGCTGTTCGACTTAAGAATGGAAAAGAACGACCCTAACCAGGTTGTTCGGAAATGGCCCTTGACAAGGGTCATTTCTTTTGAAATAGGCACTGGGGTCCCCTGCATAATTGATTGAGAAAGGTTGATTGAGAAAAGTTGATTGAGAAAGGTTGATTGAGAAAGGTCGATTGAGGATGGACTGGAATGAGCAATGAGAGATGAAAGAGGCCAGTGAGTCGGTCATTAATATAGCCATGAGGATGGATGAAAGAGGATGATGCCTTGAAAAGAGAAGGGCGGAATAAAGAAGGCTGAGCCTTAAGACAAGAAAGAGCATGGACCGTTGGAACGGTCATAAGAATTGGACATTGAAGAATGAGAAAGCTGAGGATTGAAGATGGGCCGAAGGGTCGGTTTTGAGAAATGGCTACTGAAAGAAAGACTGCCAGAGCGGCCACAAGGGGTGGCCTTGTTGATGAGAGGCTGTCGGACCAGCCATGAAAATCAACCTTGGAAATAGCATTGGATTGAGTGTGTGAGAATTGGATGTTGCATTGCATAGTCAGGGGACACTAGGTAACTTGATGTAAGGTCGTCGGGCCGACCATGGAAATAACAAGACATTGAATTTCCTTTTTCTAGTCTCAGGTTTCAACAGGAGGGGGATAGCGGTGCATGCATCGCAACCCCAGGACCTCTACCCGTCAAGGGAAAGTCCCAGCGTGACCCATGCTCTATGAGGAGGGATAAGGGTTGAAGGACCAATGCACCTTTCTCTTTGATTGATGCTGGCCGTCCGGAACTAACTCCGACAAGGAGCTCTAGTCAGGGAGTTCAAACTGCACCTCATGTTGAGAACCTAAACGTCAAGGGCGTGGAGCCAAACGGGCGAGA